AGCTTAGTGGTCTCTTTCGGTAAACCCCCTCCAGGAGTAAAATGGAAATGGAAAACAGAACTTTCTGCTTCATGATATTATTTGAAGTGTCTCAAGGTGTTTTATGCTCAGAGAACCCAAAGCAGAGACCTGTTCAATCTATGTATAGAGCACCTTTTAAAACAGTGTTGCCTAGGGTAGAGGGTAGCAAAGAGATCATATGTGTTCTGCTGAACAAGGGGAGTGCCTGTGGCATAAGGATATTGTATCAAACCTGCGTTTTTGAGAGAGAGAGGAACAAAATCCCTTTAACTCAAAAAAGGAGCTACTGTAATCTTGCTGGAGTTTACTTATTGGAAAGCTGTTGCTTAAACATTTATACCATCCTCTGTGATGAAACTCTTCATTGGCAAATTTCTTTCTATGTTTTTATGAACCTTTAAACTTGTTTCCATGATACTCTCAAGCCTGCATCTTAGCCTACTCCTCTTACTAGATGACCATCCACCCACTCCAAGTCTTTTCTGCCTTGCATTTAAAACATATGCAGTCAAACACACTTCTTCCATTTCTAAAGTTCAGCTTGAAACATATAGTTTGGAATAGGTTGGTGCTGTGTGAATAGAGTCAGTAAACATGATTTTTATCATGGTCTTGCCCCATATTAGCAGACTGTATTGCTTCCTTTTTGTGGAAAATGGAGGTGTACCTATAAAACAGGGGTGGGCAAAATATGGCTCAAGGGCCAGATCTGGCCCACCAGGCCATTCTGTCCAGCCTGCAGGGCCCCTAAAAGTTTTTTATAAAATTAATTATTATTTCTCTGTGGCTACCTGTCTAAGCTGATGAGGCACCAGTAGCAGCAGGACCCAGGATAAGCTGGTGGCAGGACCCAGGGGCGGCAGCAGCAAGGCCCAACCGGAAACCTCTGCCTAGCAAAGGCTTCTGGCCTGGCGACCCTGGGGCTGTTCCCCGCCACCCTCTGCCTTAGAGTGCAGTCAGATAAGAACAGGGGGGAGTGGAGGACCATCAGCGATCGCCCCAGTCCACGGGGGCTGGGTCAACTCCTGCTGTGTTCTGCAGTCCAGGACCCTCCAGCTGGGAATTGTGTGCAGCTGGCCAGCAGTTGGGCAGTGAGAATGGGAGAAGCAGTGAGAAGGTAGGGAAATGTCAGTGGCAGCAGCAGGCAGGAGCGCAGTGATAGCTGGGCTGGAGCGCAGGGCAGGAGTGCAGGGCCCGTGCCAGTGGCGGCTCAGGGCGGGGTGGCAGGAGCACGGAGCCTGGGTTGCCAGGGGCTCTGTGGAGCCAGGCTGGCTCTGCCCCTCTCTCTGCTGGTGCAGCAGGAGCTGGCCTAACCCCCACAATTCCCAACTGGCTACATGTGGTACTGGCCAGGCCAGGCTGGCTCTGGCACCACATGTTCCTGGCTGCATAAGTGGGACTGCATGGTGCAGCAGGAGCCAGCTGGGAACCGTGGGGTGCCAAAGCAGCAGATGGGAGGGTAGGGGGGAATGGGTGGCAGGTGGGGGAAGCGGCAAGCATGTGGACCAGGGGAAGTGGTGGTGAGTGGGTGGCCTGAGGCCAGGGCCAGCAGATGGCCCAGGGCAGGGTGGTAGGAGCATGGAACCTGGGCTGACAGGGGCTCTATGGACACCCCGCATATCCATCCATACACACACCCACATGCTCCCCAACCCAACATACACACCCACCCTCACCTATCCACCCCCCCCACACACACCCTCCCCCCACACCTCACATACACAAATACCCCCACACACACCCACAGCCCTCCACAAACCCCATACCCACCCACCCATACCCCCCACACCC